GATTTTTTATTATTAACATTTTTCTTCTTATTTTAACAAATAATAAAACGTGTCTTTGGAGATTCATTTCCTTTCCTGTCCAAGCCTAGGTACTTGTTTGACTGACAGTCCACTTGCGATGCTAACTTTTGCTTATAGTATATATAGACTGTTGGGTCTCTCTACAATGTTAAAAGGATTCGGTCTAGACCGTCTATTTGAAAAAAGTGTCCTGAGATAACTTCTGTTATGAATTGGCGCTATACAAATAAAATTGAATTGAATTAAATTGAATTAAATTATAAGGTTCACAGTGTTTAGCATCTAAAGTGATGACAAGTAAGCTGCTCAGTGTGCTACATCTGACAAGCTAATTAGCTATCTAGAGTGTAAAATGACAAAAGTAGTTCATTCCGCCAGCCAATATGGGACACAAGATATGTCCCTGAATGTAGATGGGAAGGAGACAATAACTAGAAAGCCAATATAAACATACAGTTTTGGTGGACTGAAAGGGCACATAGAAGGCTTTCCTTCTCAGCTGAGGCCAAACTGTGCTGGGAAGCTGTCTTGATTGACTGTGACTTGAGACATTGTTTGAAGTGTTTGAGTAGGTCCTTTGACTCAAGGAGAACCACTAGAGAACCAAAGTGACCCCCAGGCAAATGGCCTAGTAGTAAGACATATTTAAATGTATCCACAGGGTTCCACTTGTGGATCTGAACATTTTCCAGACCTGAAATGTGAGCAGCAGTCTGCACCAGTGCTTCATCAACAGGTGCCCTTCACTTATCCTCAAGACTATTCACCATCTATGAACCGTGTTAGGGTAGGGTATCATCACAAAGTTTATTTCCCCCAGAGCGATATCCTTTGCAAAAATCTGAAGATCAATCCAATAGTCTGTGTCCCTGATGGCTACTGTGGGGACCATTGATGCTGCACATTCAAACCCATGCAGCCTAGCAACCATCTGCCACCTGTGACCCTGGCTCTCTTCATCACCTCCTCAGCAAATCCCGAGGAACAAGTTAGTAGTGCGACTGGTTCTCTCTGGGGCATCACTCAAGAGTACCAGATGCAGAACAAGCTGACGGAGCAGGCTGGATGTGTGCAAGCCTTAGCTAGCATCTTGTGCTGCTCTACCCTGAAGATGCAAACACTAGAGTAATCTGTGGAAGTGCTGGGTGGTAAAACAGTTCCTCCTTTGACAGTTGAGGACCCAGGAGACTTTCTTTATTCTTCTGGTGGCCCAGTCCCACTGAGACAGTCTGAGACTGAGGCAGAAAATAATAAAGCCATGGAACAGCTAAAAGCATTGGCAACATCAAAAGTAGGCTATCATGGTATGCAGGACTATCCTGATCACAAGAAGGATTTATAGGCAGAGACACATCCATCTGAGCCAACAGGAAGATGACATTATAGAGTCCTTGGTCTGCTGTGAAGACTAGTTAGCAAAACTGGATGCAAGATGGGCAGCTACCACACTAATAAGCAGAAGAATGCTCTGGTATTGCTGAGGAACAGCCGTTAATTTTAAGTGAATTCTGACCCGTCTACTAGGATGTGCATCTCCATCACTGATGCAATACGCATCTCAATGCACTGCCAACAATGTGATACATTAAAGATACATATGAAGCAACTATCAACAGGATATGATCTGGTTCACCTGTATTGCGATGCAGTGCAAGTCAACACGATTTGATTCAACAAGATACGATCCGATGCTATGCAGTTCAGTAACAGATAGTTTGATTTTATTTACAGCTTGCTTACAAGTTTACAGCTTGAGAAACTGTTTAAAAAGGAGGACTCAATCTAAAAATTATTGGTCACATTTCTAAATAATAATGGCATAGGGCCTCTACTAAGGATTGTATATAAATGTCAGTAGTTTTTTTTTTTACAGATGCTAGAAACAATGCATCTCAAGTTAATCTTAAATTGTATCCCATGCACACTTTTTTAATCGGGAAGATCACATCTTGAACTTCTATGCCAGCACAATAATGCAAATAGCTGAATCTTACCATCCCTATTGTCTACACACTGCTAATGTTTGTCACGTTTAAGGGTGACACTGGCTTGGTCTGCAGCTGGTTTGTAGGTTTCCTTTATGAGTTTCTGTATGGAGGGCCAGGAGGTGAAGGCTCAGTCTCAAGATCATTGTCTGTGGCCACCATATACACAGCCCAAAACACTGACAGCTTGGTGCAGCTTTAGCATTGAGGATCTATGGTGGCAATCAAACAGGACAAAAGAGACGCAACTTTGTCGATAAAGTCATCCGTGACTGTCTTATCCTGGAGCTGGACAAAAATAGATCAAAAGTGGAGCCCCAGCTGCCTTTATATTTATGTAAATTTCAGTGCACAGAGATGAGGAGTCCTCTTAGAGGGCAAAGCTTGTGTAAAATAGAGCAGATTACCTTTCTTGAGCAGGACTGCAGTAGCATCACACGTGACGTTATCCTCCAGATCAGTGCTTCCTGTCAGCCCGTTGGCCAGATTCATAGAGCTCTTCTTTCGACGGTCAAAGTAGCGATGTGCCCTGCCGTTAAACCTGGCAATGACAAATGAATAAGAGGGGGGTCACAACTTACTTTAGTAAATGCAACTCATTAGTTAATTGAAGCCATTAGCAGTTTGATTATGACACCCACTTCATGATAAGGATGTAGCCTGCATACATAAGGATCAGGATAAGAGACTCCCACCTGCACACAAACACCAGGTCAGTAAAATCTATAGTCATTCAAAACACACATATATTTATTGATGCTGCAACAGAGAATATCATAACTCACCAGCACACCTGTTCATCGTATATGAACTAAAAAGACAACAAGGACAAGAAAGGACATTAGGTGGAGGCAGTTCTGCATTTCAACATCAACTCCACTAGAGGGCATAACTAATCCAGAGCTCAGACACCCCAGGAAAAGGTCAAAGCATGACCTTTTGGTTCATTTTAACTAATTTAAGGACAGGAAGACACTGAAGAAACTCATTTCTTAGCCTTTTTTTTTATGTTGAAATGTACCTGAAATTACACGATACGTGGACTGCCAGATGTTGATCAATGACTTTAGAATGTCACTGCCAATTAAACATCATAAAGAGAAAACAAAATGTTTTTCTAAACGTTTAATACAAGATCTGTTTGGAACTCTCTCTCTCTCTCTCTGTCCACCACCTGCAGTTTATTCATATTCATTTTTGCATCTGTAAGTACTGCAGAGCCTCCATTTCAGGAAATATTCACATCACGTACTTAAGTAAGAGTATCGATACCAAATATTACCAAATGAAAAAATACTAATTATTATTATTATTATTGTTATTATTTGTATTATTATTTTACATAAAGGGTAAGTATGGTATTTTTCAACCAGGATTCTATTTCCCAATGTTTTTATGTCTAAGAGACAAATGGGGACAACAATGTTTGAAATTGGTCCAATACTGAGTGAAAGTGCTGCAGCCGTCAGAAGTGAAACCGGGCTGCAACATAATCCTTTGGGGCGTTTGCGCACCATCAAAGTATGTCCACTAAAGTGCTTGTTTTTGTTACTGATCAGCTCAGATTGTTATTCTGTCTAAAAACATCATGGAAAGGATCCCTACAAAGATAGGCCGCTTTTAAAGAGTAAGAACCTTTTTGTTTAACCAGAAACAGCCACTATATCACTCTATCCAAAGCCACCTGACTCCATTTAAAAAATAAAAAATAGGGTCCAGGTTAAAAAATACTGAAGTTACTGAAGCAAACTATACCTAAAGTATCAAATGTAAAAGTATTAAATTGGCAAAATGACCCAATTATGTGCTATATTATTATATGTATGACATTATTGGTGGCACTTTATTGTTGCAGTTGGTCAAGGTGGAGCTAATTTAAACTATTTTACATACTGTTGAGCAGTTTACTCTGTAACAAATCATCATACTGTGGAGGCTGATTAATTGAGTAAATGTAAAGAGTTACTCTCTACCACTGCTCCATTTCCTTTGTGCATTGTGGGACAACAGTTTAAATCAGCACCCTCAAAAATTAAGTGTTTTTTAGTATGCATATTTACATTTCTGAGTATACTGTCCCAGTGTGAATACAATGCATACTCCAAGCCTGCTGAGAATTAACATGTATTATGGATTTGGGATAAAGCTTAGTCTCTTATTATACCCCATACATACTACATGTTTTATACAACCAAACACATACTACTAGAAGGGCAATTGCTGTGACTGAAAAACTGCTAAAGAAAAGGCCCACATTTATAGTGGATGTACAGTATCTGTGTGTTTTTATTGACTTTCTACTATCTAAGCAATTCTGCTGAGGCAGAAAAGTGCAAATTGGGTATTGATACCAAAGCTGAGAAACAGCACTTTCAAATAGGCATTATACGCTTTGCTGTAAGTGACAGTGTAAGGATTTCTGCATATTCAATCACCACACTGGAGCACGTGAACTGTGTATTTGCATATGAGTCTATAAGATCTTACCGCAATGAGGGCCGTGATAGAAAATGTGTAATAAATTGAGTCCCGGAGTAGACCCCAGTGAGAGAGCTTCACCGCCTGCAAGAAACCCCCCCCCAAAAAAAACACAGATAAGCACACTCACAAAAACAAGTAAGCAGCTTCAATAATAACACTTATCCTGGCCTGGAGTTTATGCAGCACAGCGATACAGAAACGCCTCTGACATCATTACCATACTGATGTAAACACAGGAGCTTTAGAGTTGACCTCCTGAATCACAATCGCTGAAAAAGCCAATTGCAAGGTACCATCCTACGTAGGAAAGGTGCCTGTGTGTTTATCGACTTTATGTAATCAGATACAATGCAGGAGCCCACAATACAATGACTAACACTCTCCCACACACCACTGCACTGTATATACGCAAGTGGTGGGTCAGAAGTCACATCTTGAATGTGCCACTCCCAGCCGTGGAATCGTTTGCTGCTGCGAGGCAGATGGCAGAGTTACAGTTTAACAAAGCTTTGAAATGTTTGCTTGTACTCTGTTTCACCGTACACTAGTGCTTTGTAGAGGGAGCCTGCTATGAACAGCCAGCCAAAGGTAACAAACAGAAGTGAGGTGCAATTGCCGCACACTTGAAGATGATTTTACTGCACCCTGTCCCTCCAAGCCGTTACATCGCCTGCCCTTCTGCCTCATTATCTCACTATGATTACGCAATGCACAATCTGGCATTGCATCACTGTTTGGAGTCCAGTGCATATATTTTTCAGAGCAAAGAGCTTATCCTCGTACTCCACTCATTTCCATGTTCCTGGCATGTCAGACAGCATCAGAAGAGAGGCTGCATTCTATTATGTTATCTCTGTATCTTATGCAAAACACAGCACTGAGGATGCAAAGCAAAAAGGAAATACAACTATCTATCTGTGTTCAGATGATGGGATGTTGTTCATGTGGCTGGTTAAGCAGAGCATATAAAAAGAAGTGTCCCACAAACAAAAACATGTTAAAACGGAAAGTTTCCAATGTGTGCCAGCACCAGAAGTTTCACTTTGTGTACACATTTTTCATATGAGAAAGAAAGTCACACAGAAGACAAATCGGACTATCGGACAATCACTAAAGACAAAGGATACAGGTATATGTTAGACAGTAAAAAATAAAATACATATATGTAAAGAAATCATCAAGGAGGATCAGACTGAAGCAGTATTTTGGTGCAGTCAGACACACAGACTCATGCATGCATAAAACAGTGTGTCTGCATTTTTCTGCATAAACACATGCATGTATGCATGAGTACTTTCTCCCACTTTGTGTTTCTGTGGCTGAATATTTAAAGGTGATATTAGACTGTGGGTTGTACGCTGCGAAAATGTCACCGGATCAGTGGCGAGTTTGGCCGCAGCAGTGTAACACTGCTATGACATCATACCTGGCCAGCGAAGAAGCCACACACACCGATGATGCAGAGGATGTTGAAGACAGCCGAACCCACGATGGTCCCCACACCCACGTCACCTTTGGTGATGAACACCCCTGGGAAAGGAATAAACGAGCACACACACTGCATTACAACTCCACAGAGTGCATAGATGATGTGTTCCACATTACTTGACATTTTCCGGTTGTAGCACAGCATCTGCAGTGCTGACAAATAGATGTCACACAACTGTCAAAACCTATGTAAATAACCCGGCCATATTGGTCATGCATCTCTCTCCTACTCACGCACAAACATACACACACTCGGAAAAAGATGAGAAGCAAAAAGGCCTATAAAACCTGAATTTGCATTTATTTTTCAAAACAAATCAGAGGAAAGTTGAATCTATTAAACCTAGTCTGTATAATTAGATTTTTATTTAGAATAAGAAAGAATACAGTAATGTAATGTGGCAGTCCTGCCTTTGAAGGGAAAGTTCTTGGTATTGTTGGTTGAGACAGATATATTATGCTGAACACAACCATGATCAAAGAAAGAAAGAAAAAAAAAACCACATATGGCCTTTGCTCCTCACCAGCAATTCTCTGGTGCTTATATAAGATGACTTTAATGTGATTCTAATGTGATTCAGTATATTGAAAGCCATGTTTGTTTAGTGCATGTGTCTGGGGATGAAAGCATTATTGTAAAAGGCATGCATGCTTCCTCTCTAATGCATCTACAGCGGCATGTGTTTCAGTTAGAACAGAGGAGGTAAAGAGATGGAGGGGTGGCTGCGGTGAATACCTATGACGGACGTGAAGAGCTCCGGAGCCGAGCTGCCGGCGGCCATGAAGGTGGCCCCTGCTACGTCTTCACTGAGCTGGAGACGCTGTGGGAAAGCAGTAAGAGACAAATAAAATGTTCGTATTTGAACAGTAAAATCAAGATCAGTCCGAGCCACAAACAGTTGGACATCATTCACAGCCTGACCCTTGACTCTGACCCTTAGCTGATTATACAGATCATTCAGCACCAACGCACTGAGCAATATGTCTTTGGCAGATATTGGATTTTTAAAAAATGTATTTATTCCTTTTACCAGCTGTTTTTAATTTCAACTCTTTGGTCCATCCGGGCTTCCATAATTTTTTTGTGGACTTACTAGTAGTTATTTCTTATTTTCCTACCATATAGACATCCAATAATGTTCAGTTCTTCTCAGAGTTTGTATAAAAAAAAAACTCTGCAGAGCCGTGCTTTGAAAGTGAAGTAAAATCCACACACATTTATCAAGATGGGAGGCATGCACAGAAAGAACACAGCCAGAAAGTAATCAGGTTCACGTAATCATTGTTTACATGGTGCAATTTTTCATTTTGATCGGTTTATGAAAAGGTTTAAACTACCCCTTTGCTTGTTTATTTTGCTGTATGGAGCATTTTTATTCTGGTTGGGCTCTTAAACTAATTATAATCAGAATATTACGCTCAATGTAAACCAAGCTAAAGTCTGGATTTGTACATGTGTTACCGGAGGTTGCTGTATTTTTGAGTGCACATCTCTTAATAAATAATACCACACAACTTTTTTTTTTAATTCCTTTTTTGGTTTATTAATATTTAATGCTATTAATATCGAGGAGTTTTTCATGACCTTTAATACCTCACATTCATACCTCACACAGCTTCTCCAGGGAGGGGACAAAGTAGTCATCGCAGACGAGGGCCAGGGCACAGAACATGTAAATGGTCTGTAAAGAGAGAGAGTGATGAATATCACAGGGATCAGTGAAGTATGATATAATGTTGCTTGATGTGATTTATACATACAGGATGAAAAGTTCATACTGAGATGGGTTCCACTGCACCGTATGGTACAGCGAACTGATGTATCTGTTAATATTTCAAATTGGGCAAGAACAAGTGATCTTGTTTACCATTTTCCATGTCTTCTCCTGCTTTTTATTCTATTTGTAACGGATCTCTATATGTACCCTGAATGGTGCATTGAAGAACACCTCTCTGCTCCAAATGCTACATTAAATTTAGATGTAACTTACCATGAAAAAAGGAACAGCGAGTCTAGTAATTGAAGGCTGAAAATACAAAGATCTGATTCCATGCAAATGCAGTGCAGTACATTAATGGATCATACATTAAAAATTCAAGAACAACATAACTGTGGGACCAAACTATTTACATTTTAAATATGGAAAGTTAGTTTTTTTACTTTTCAAACATACTTAACTTTACTGTCAGAATGGATGTAACAGAGAAGCAACATTACCACTGACCTGGAATGACACTGTGAGCCCAAGTTAAAGATACACATACAAATAAAATAATGTACATTTGTTTATTACATTATTCCTAAACATAAACACCACAACTGCTCCATAAATTCACAGATAAAACAGATCTCACTCTTTGGTTAAAAAGGAAAATATGTTCAGGTTCAGTCTCCAAATTTTAGAGCCTTTAATTTAATGAACAATTTTTATAAAATAAAAAAAAATTTATTGTTATTTTAAAAAGCATTGTAGTTGTATTTCCTCATGTTTCCAAAAAGCAAGTAATATATGGAAATAAACAGTAGGAGGGTCATGCAACCTTCCCATTTCCCCAAATCGCTACAGTGGGGGTGGCAAAGTTAGCATGAGTCAGCACACAGCAGCATTAGGACCAACTGTCGGGTTGAAATATACAGGTATATTTAAAAGGTATAAATAAATGATGAAAATCCAAGCAAACTCTTTACAATTACTTTTCCACTGTATTAAAAAGTTGTTTTACCACACGAAAATAAGATTTGTATTATCTGCAAAGACACTAAGAGTTAATGTTTTGGAAACCTTGGAAATAAATATGATATACGTATATAACAACAATAATGGGCCTAACACTGAGCCTTGGGGAACTCCACAAGTAGCCTTCACTAAAAATCCTTCCAAATGTCCCCTGAATAGTCTTGCAATGACAAAATACATTATGACTGCAAATAATCTATTGTAAGAAATGCTTTTCATGCTTTATATTACTGATGTGTTTTTTCCTGGTGTATTATTGCACACACCCACTGCATGCAACCTTTCTTTGGTATCACATAATACATACACAACACAGAGCACCGAGAGAAGCAGAGACAGGGTGGAGATGAAAGCCGCAGAGCAATGATCAAGAGAGAAAATGTCAGGTAGTGACGACAGACTGACAGCAAATGTGTGAACAAAGGAAAAGCTTGAATATTCTTAGATTTTGTAATAACGAAGTCCTTCAAAGACCTGCTTACAGCAAGACAGAGTGAATATTTCTTATCCCTTTTGTGCTCAGTTCTGAGTCACATTTTACTCTGCACCAGAAGTTCTTCTATTTCCTGTGTCTGAAAGCATGTGAGAGTGACCTGAACTACCCAACGGCTACATGAGAGCTATGACTGAGCTGTAGAAAAGGAGTGTCATAGGCACACGTATATAGCACCTTTCTAGTCTTCCGACCACTCAAAGCACTTTACGCTACATGCCACATTCACACACATTTGTACAGTGATGGCAAAAGCACAAACAAACAAAAAACAAGTAATTCATATGCAATTTGGGGTTTAGTATGTTGCTCAAGGATAAAAACATGCAGCAGAAGGAGGCGGGGATCGAACCACCAACCTTCTGAGTGGACAACCCGCTCTACATCGTGAGCCACAGCCACCCTATTAATAACCATCAGTCAGTAAGTTAAAGAGTTGTTTGTTAATTTAGAGTGAGCAAAACACAAAACGTCACATGTAATCCTGACAACTGGGTTTAATCTTAATTCAGGTTTGAGGTTGAGACGGAGGAAAAACAGGAGCCTTCATCGCTATCTCAAGCCTAGTAGCTGTGCACACTCCATGTAAATGTTCTATGTTGCATGCAGACATGAAAGTCCTTCAATCTTGAGCCATGTTTGTGTTTTTGAGAGGAAATCTTTTTTAGAGAAGTGATGATTCCCGCATTAATGAGCTGTGCAGAATTGAAGGGAGGGGGTCAGCAGTACAGCTGTCAAGAGAACAGCAGTTGGAAGTAAAATACTGTGATGTTAAAATTCAGAAATTAGCGTCTTACAGTTTTTGTCTTCAAGCTGAATGCAATACCAGAAACATACACGATCAATGATAATCTCCGGCTGATAGTGGAATCACTTCACAGCAGCTTCACTCGTAGCTGAATCACTGGATAATACAACATCTAATTCGGTTTTAAATCAACATCCTTGAATCAAGACCATATGCTGCTATTAGTGCAGCATATTGCAAACACGATCAGCCATTTTCAGGTTTTATGTTTTTTTAATGATCTGACTTCATATGGCATTTTACTTTTTATATTTTAACCTGTACGGTGGCAGGAAAACAGACATGTAAGAGTTATTTCTGATTAACAGTAAAGGGGAGCAGCTGCAGGTAGAGAGAGGGCTGCCAGCACATTCATACTACTATTTATACTTCTGAATGTATTCTGGCTGTGCAGTACAAAGCAGAGGTGCCATTGCCATTAATATTGCCATTGTTTTGCAAGTCACAAGTAGATCTCAAGTCTTTGGGGCTGGTTTAGGTAGTAGAAAGAGTCGTCCACTGACATCAATGTTGGTGGTTCAATCCCCACCTCCTCCTGCCTACATACCCTGGGGTAAAAACCCCATCCCGATAAATGGGGCGGGTTGCGTCAGGAAGGGTATGTCAGTCAAATATGTGATCTACAAATAATATATGGGGGTGACCCCTACATGAAGCAAGCCAAAAGAAAATTACAAAGAAGTAGGAAAAAGACAGTGTCAACTCTTGGCTATGAAGTTACAAGTCAAGTCCTAATAAAACCTAAACCAGTCCAAGTGCTAAACTTTGTCTTTCAGGTCACTGAAACTATGCACCCTTTACCAAATATAATGCCATTTAATTATTTAAAGTTAATATAGTACATTTACCGAAATAAAGCTTGATAAAGATTTCATTTATTACTTTCAAATAAACATTGGAACAAGAGAGAAATCATCAGGTGTGTCATGGTATCCTATTCTTTACATCCCAATGTGATAATCTGAGGTATCGTCCGTGTCTGTCTGCTGGTTTCATACCTCCTGCTTACGCATCAATATTCTTTGCTGTTCGATTGATTCACAGTACATCGGCTATCAGCGAACTGAAGCTTTCTTTATTTGCTGAATTAAAAATGATGCAATAAAAAAATAATTAGCTCCCCTGGCTCACTTCCTGCATACTACGTTCCAAACCTGTTTTCAGTGTCACATGTCACAGTAGGCAAGCTTCTTCCTCAGGACTGGCCTATTTTGCATCTGAATTCTGACATGCATTTCCAAAAATGGAAAGGTGGAAAGGTACAACAGCATTAAAACTATACAGTATACTCTGCAGGCATTAGTTGAAAAATAGCTGAAATTCAGCTGTTCTCTCAACAGTACAGTAACACCTGCTATAAAATGACACAGAGTACATTATTTTAAAGGTTAGACATCACAGGTAATGATATACTATACTTTGGCTTTTTGTTTTTTAAAATACCCATGCATCCAAGAAAAGGTTACTTTCATCTGCCCTTCTGTAGCAGGAAAAGGCTAACTCAGAGGGTGGGTGCATTGTAAGCAGTGACATTGCCTGTAACGTTAGACATGTACTGGCAAAATGGCCCATTCGGTAGTCCTTAGAGGTCTGTTTATGCACAGCAGAGTTCCATGGAGACGCTTCTCTGCTGGCATGAGCTTCCATTACAGTCAGCCCCGCAGAGACCATCAACAACAGCACAACACAACATGGGTCATCATGCACCGGAACATTCTGCCTGCCTTGTGCCAGTCATGCAAGAGTGACGACAGAGGGGCTCCATCGAAGCCTTGCCCTCGCATATTGACCCCTGCTGGGCCACGCTGGAGAGGCCAGTGGGGCTGGTGATGCATGTGCTGAACCAATGAGATACTGCCGCAGAGGAGAGGAGAGGAGAGGGTAGGAAAGGAGAGGAGGAGAGGAGAGGACTGGGTCTGGCATTGTGCCGCAGATCCAGATGCTGTCTTCTGCTTAGCCAGAGAGGAAATATCTACAGCGGTACCATTTGTTTAGCCTTGCTTTGGATAGCCTGTCATCAATTATTCTATGACATGCAATGAGTAAGATTGTGTCACTTTGTGATGAACTTAGGTTGAAGTGTTTGGATTTTTATGTTGCAGCTGTTGCAACTTATAACTCCACTGATTTTACACATCAAAGTTAAAGGTGTTGGGTAGTACTGCATATGTGACAAAAGTTGTAAAAAGCTTTCTGCTGTGTGAAGTCAGATAGATGTCATAAAGTGATGCTACCTGGGTCAGCGTGATGCTACCTGTTTGTGTTGTTTTAGAAACAAGTGATCTTACCAGACCTCTGCAGCCCATTCCTCATCTCAGCTCGAGGCTAGCAGCTGCAGGCTGCATTAGCTACTACTAGCATAACCCGCCTGAATCTCTGAGTGAACTGTCCATCATGAGTTTGATAATGTTGTAATAGTGCAAAGCTAAATCAGTGAGGTATTATTTTTCTATATTTCTATCATAT